GCCGAATTATTTTGTGTATTATAACGCCAGTGAGAACTCTGAAATTTCTTTACTTTCACTTTCATTTTAAGAGGTTCTGCCGGAAAACTAATCTGACATGCCACCTTCAATTCGAGCATTTCTGCATTTCACAGAACTGATGTTTGTTATGAGATGATAAATCATGTGTAAACTTTCTCAGTTTAGCGGAATCATGAACATTTTCGGCGAGATTAATGTTTTGTATACATTGGTGATCAAGGCTTCGCGAACCTGCAGGAGCGGATCCAAGGATTTATGAATGAATAAAAACTATGGAAATGACGTACCAATTTTCTAATTTATACTTGCACTATCTAATGAAATGAATAATATACAAGTAATAGATATACAAGAAAACGCGAAATGATAATAAATGCAGCTGACAATCGTTATTTTTTTTTAATAGATAAAATAAAATAATTATAAATTCAAGAGACAAAACAGAAGGAGAATGAATGATGGCAAAATGTCACATGACGGGAACTGAATTTTATGAATGAAACTTTTAAAACATTACTTGTAAGTTGTATATGTTATTTCTGTGTATTCTATCTGGCTGTGCGCTTCAAAAGGGGGGTCGTCTTGAACATAGTACCTTAGCCATAACGTTTAAACGGTAAGGTCTAGGGCTTTCGTATTTCAAATATGTAATCCTTGTGAAAAGAACTTTTATTGGATACGAAGAACTTTGACCCTTTGACCTAGACCTTGGAGAACACTTGTGTAAATAGCAAGATCTCGCGCGCATTCACGTGCACTTCGCTCTGATTGGCTGCAACTAACTTCTCAATATCGTTCTTGTTTTTTGACGAAATCCTTTGAAATTTTGAAGATAGCCATGCATTAGGATATCCTACAACATGAAATAAAGCAATTATCATGCACGTGCGCTGCAATCTGATTGGTTGAAACTTTAAACAGCTATAACTCCCTTGGTTTTCAACCAATCAGGATGGGATTTGGTACATAGATAGATATAATGGACTTCTACAAGTAGGTATGGTCTTCATGCACATGCATACACGTGCGTGTACATGGGCTGCAATCTGATTGGCTGAAACTTTAAACAGCTATAACTCCCTTAGTTTTCACCCAAACAGGGTGGAATTTAGAACATAGATAGATGTAATTGACTTCTACAAGAAGGTATGGTCATCATGCTCATGTATGCACGTGCGTGCACGTGAAATGAGTAAAATCAAACATACACTTGAATGAGCGTATTTTTTTTAAATAATTTTGGATTAAATACTTTAATATTCAGTGTATTAAAAATATAGATTGTGTAGACAAGATGATATGGTCATGACGCACATGCATTCACATGTGCACGCGTGCAATGCTAAAGTTTAAATGATTTTTGTACACTTCTTTGTAAATGTTGTTAAAATCTCAGATGCATAGAGTTTGTCTTATTTAATGAAGCTTACAGGGAATATGGCACCAAAAGGGAGTTGGGGAGCGTTTGGGGAACATCTGTAACGGTCCCCGTTACAATTAGCACTAGTTCTCACTGTTTCGGAGTGACATATGGGGTAAATTTACCTTGAATTAAAGCAAAAATGGATGCTTGGAGGTTGTCGATGCTCGCAATTGGCTAGCAGTCTATATTTAAACTATGTTCACCTAATCTATTACTATGAAATTTAGAGGGGCTACTTTCTGCGTCGGACGTTTTTATGTCTGCATAGGAAGAAAAACAAGAGGCCCACGGGCCTTATAGGTCACCTGAGCATCAAGCAACAACTTTCAAATAATTGAATTTGTTTCATGTTTTAAGCTAGATGCTAAGGCATTCACAATTTTGGAAGAAGCACTCTTGCTTAACATAACTATGTACTTAGTTGGTTTATTTAAAACCTAGGAGCAGAGAAAAAGATTTTCAAAGATTTAATGCATTTTCACTATATAATCAATAGAGCCCCGCCCTAACACCAGAACCCCTGACCCTGGGGCCATAAAATTCAAATTTTGGTAGAGGCACTCTTGCTTATTATAACTATTTACTTAGTTAGTTTATTTAAAACCTAGGAGCAGAGAAGATTTTCAAAGATTTAATGCATTTTCACTATATAATCAATAGAGCCCCGCCCTAACACCAGAACCCAGTGCTCCAAGTTGCGACTAAAATGGTCGCATTTGCGACCAAAAAAATTGATTTTGCGACTAGAAATGAAAACACACTCGCATTTTCGCGACTGGAAACGTCCAATTTTTAAGATCGGGATCGAGATTCCATTTGTAAAGATTCTCTATCAAGAAAATGTTTGAAGACATATACTTAAATACACTTTACAAAGCGTTGCATGGACTTTGATCACGTAATGTTATGACAGCATGCCATGCTGTACAAAGTTAGATAGAACCTGAACCAGAGACGTGGACAAATAATGTTCCTGATAGAATGGCATCCAAACTTCGTACACTTTTTAAGATCCGACCTTGTTATTGAAGCATTTGATCAATTGCTTGCATATCACAATGAATCATGATTGTATTATCATGCTAATGGTGTTTTGGCGGCATTTATAATGACTGTGTATGGGTTAGGTATACATAGTAGTAAATAAACATGACAAACAGCAGCCAAAGTCCTGTCTCAACACCTGTCAAGCTTGTATTTTCATTTGATAAAATTTTATTTCTGTAATCAGATTACTTGCGTTCTTCTGTACAACCATAAGGGTACATGTATTCAATAAAAGTATTTCATTCAACCTAGCTAGCAAATTTTTACAGTCACAGTAATAAGTAATCTATGATATAATACAGACATAATACATATCCTTATTTAAATTATCAAGTTTTATTCACAAAATGTATTTTTTTATGGCGAGTGAAATATCTGATTATGGCGACCAGAAATTCTGAAATGGCGACCAAAAAAATTTTTAGGTCGCCATTTTGCGACCTGAGAGCAAGTGTGACTTGGAGCACTGGAACCCCTGACCCTGGGGCCATGAATTTCACAATTTTGGTGGAGGCACTCTTGCTCATCATAATTATTTACTGAATTAGTGTATTTAATACCTAGGAGCAGAGAAGAAGATTTTCAAAGATTTAATGCATTTTCATTATACCGTATATACTCGCCTATAACTCGGTTTTTTGGGAGTTAATCTCTGGTCCAAAACTGTATGTCCGACTTATAGGCGAGCTATAAAATTAATGGTATTATATGAGGTCAGTCCTGTGATATATAAGCTTATTAAATACAACCGACTTATAGGCGGACCGACTTATAGGCGAGTATATACGGTATATTCAATTTAGAGCCCCACCACTAACACCAGAACCCTTGACCCTGGGGCCATAAAATTCACAATTTTGGTAGAGGCACTCTTGCTCATCATAACTATGTGCTTAATTAGTTTATTTAATACTCAGGAACAGAGAAGAAGATTTTCAAAGAAATAATGCATTTTCACTATATAATCAATGATCAATAGAGCCCCGCCCTAACACCAGAACCCCTGACCCTGGGGCCATAAAATTCATAAATTTGGTAGAGCCACTCTTGCTCATCATAACTATGAACTTTATTTGTTTATTTAATACCCAGGAGCAGAGAAGAAGATTTTTAAAGACTTACTGCATTTTCACTATATAATCAATAGAGCCCCGCCCTAACACCAGAACCCCTGACCCTGGGGCCATGAATTTCACAATTTTGGTAGAGGACTCAATGCTGATTACAATAATACCAACAGTTTGACTGCTTGATGTCCGGGAGTAAAGAAGAAGATTTTTAAAGATTGCACTATTTTTAGTGGTTTTTGCCCCACCCCCCAGGCCCCAGGGGGGCGGGGACCACGAAATTCACAATTTTTGTTACCCTTCACCCATAGATGCTATATGCCAAATTTGGTTGAAATTGGTTCAGTGGTTTCAGAGAAGAAGCTGAAAATGTTTAAATGTTAACGCACGACGCACAACGCACGACGGACGACAGACGACGACGGACAAAAACGGATAGCAATAGGTCACCTGAGTTTACTCAGGTGACCTAAAAATGGAAAAACACATAAATAACATTTTTACGGTAAACGTTTGGGGGAAATGAAATTCCTTTTCAGATCGTATGTACCTTACTTTGACTTTTTTCCCTTTCCTTTCGTAAGAGATCCTTTTCTCTTAAAAACAATCGGTAATTATCAGTATACGAAAGTTCTATGTATATTGTGTAATTTGACTTTTTTTCCTTTTTCCCTTCCCTTTCGTAAGAGATCTTTTTCCCTTAAAAAATCAATCGGTAAATATCAGCATACGAATGTTCTAAATATATTGTGTATGTTAATACCGCAGAAATAATATTTAAAGGCCCGGTCCCACTGGCGTTAAGGAAGATTTGCGTATGAACTGCGCACAAAATTGGTTTATATTCGCTAAACATTCGCAATATTCGTGAAACATGCTTGTATGAGTCGGCCGACATCCGTACACGTTCGCAATTATCCGCAAAGGCACGTTTTTCCGTTGCCAGGATTTTTGAGCTGCTCAAAATTTTGATTGCGGATGACATCCGCCTTGCATATGCAATACATACGCAATGCATACGCAAAACATACTCGGTCTTTGCGCTGTATATCCGCTGGTTTCCGCCGATAACCGCAACTGACGGGGTATTGCAGTTTGGCAGTGGACTGGGACAGTGTGTAAAACGGATATATAGCGTGACTATCACGTCCATATAACGAACTAAAATAATTCGTAGCGAATGCATACGGATTGACCACAAATAATGCGTTTGTATAATGTCTGCTTTGCATCTGATTTACGAACAAATTGCGAGTGCATAACAAACACTTCACGTAAACCCAAGTACTATATAAAGTAGCAGAAATAGCAGAAATAGACATATTAGCCAGTCATTGCCAGTGTAGCTGTGGAGAAGTACAAATATAGTTATGGATCGTTGACGTTTGATAGTTGCTGCCATCCAACAACATAACAATCAACTTTTCCAAGTTCAGCAATTGATGCAGAGGAGGAGAAGAAGGCGAAGAAGAAATCATAGAGCTGTTTGGGTGAGACCATGGATTGATAGAAGACTGGACCTTGGCATGTACAATAAGCTGATGATAGAGCTGCGTAATGAAGATCCACATGCCTTTCACAATTTCATGAGAATGTCCCTAGCCATGTTTGACGAAGTGGTGAACCGGCTCACTCCCAGACTGACCAAGGAACAAACCAACTTCAGACCTAACTTGGAGCCTGGTCTCAAGGTGGCAGTAACCCTGCGCCACCTGGCCTCTGGTACAAAATACAGGGACATGCAGTATGCCTGGAGGGTGCCACACAACACCATAAGCAAAGTTGTCAGAGACGTATGCGAGGCCATAGTGGACGAGTACCTTGATGAGCAGATGACTTGCCCAACCACCGAAGAAGAATGGCGGCAAATTGCTGATGACTGGCTGCAGAGGTGGAACTTCCCTCACACCATTGGTGCCATTGATGGCAAGCATGTGGCATGCAAGGCTCCCCCCAACACAGGGTCGGAATACTACAACTACAAGGGCTTCTTCAGCATCATACTGTTTGGCATGGTCAGTTCCGACTACAAATTCCTCTGGGCTGACGTATCAGGAAATGGCGCTGCATCAGATGCCCAAATCTACAACCACAGTGAGCTGAAGCAAGGTCTAGAAAGCGACAACATCACGGGTTGGCCACGTCCAGACCCCCTTCCCAATGACACACAAGATGTTCCCTACTTCATTGTGGGTGATGATGCTTTCTCCCTAAGAACATACCTGATGAAGCCATACAGCGCGAAGAACCTGACCAGGGAAGAGCGCATCTACAATTACAGATTGTCAAGGGCAAGGAGAGTGGTAGAAAATGCCTTTGGTATAATGGTCAATAGATTCCAGGTACTGCTCACCACCATGCTGAAACAGTCAGGCTCATAGTGAAGGCTTGTATTCTGCTCCACAACCTGATGCACACCCGATACCCAGTCCTGCAAAACAGACTTTTAGACCGTCAGCTGCAAAATGGACAAATGGAGCCCGGAGAATGGCGAAGGGGCCAAAACCTATTCGACACTGTGGAAGTCCAAGCACCTAACAGAGCTTCAAAAGAAGACAAGATGCAGCGCAACCTCATCAAGCATTGGTGCAATTCACCTGCTGGTTCCGTAGCCTGGCAAGACAAAATGATAGACTTAGTGTAAAGACAGACCTTCAAAACACTGGTTCATTTCGCCACCTTCTTGATGATTTAATTAACAAGAATGTAATATTGGATGATGTATAATAAATGTATGATGAATTTTGAAGTTTGCCATACTTTCATATCAAGTTCAAAATGTATTGTCTTTCATTAATGTAAGGGAAGTCACAAAAAAGAGGCACATAAATCAAAGTTAACAAACACTGTCTTTTATTTTGTTCATAAGGGACATTATGAGTACTGAAAACATCAAATAAACAAGTGAACTGTCCATTGCACAATATAGGCCATAAATCTACTGAGAGGCCTGTGGAGATGCAGGAGTCGAAGGCAGTGGAGCAGGAGGTGTGTTCAGGGACCTCATGGAAGACAAACTGTCATCCCCCGATCCACTGAGTGACAGGTTCATGGAGTCATCCAAGACGTCATGTGTCAATTTCAACACTTGAGACAAAGTGTCTGAACGTCTTGGCTGGTCAGTGGCACCACTGGTACTTGTCTGCTGAGAGTGTGCTGGCTGGTACTGGGGGAAAGCAAGTGATTGTGTCTGCTGCAACTGCTGAGTTAGCTGGTACTGGGGGATGGCAGGTTGCTGTGGATGCTGGAACTGCTGTGTTAGCTGGTACTGGGGGTGATACAGGCCCTGAGGAGGGGTAAACTGGGACTGTGTCGGCTTGGATGTTGCAGGTAGAATAGAGTGGAGATTAGTAGACGAGGAGAAGTCGATGGCGTTAGGGTTTTGCAGCAGGGATGTGATCTTTCTCATCATGGCATCGTACTGATGATCGGGTAGTCTTCTTAGCGTGTCCGACACGTAGGTAATGAAGGGCTCCCTGGGTGAGGATGGCTTCTCGCAAACAAGCTGGGACAGCAGTTGGGTGTTGGCCTTCATGCTGTCCCTCATCTCTCTCAAGCACTCTTCCTCAGCATCCTGGTGCCTTCTCTTCGTCGAACGGCTGGTGCCACCTCTGCTGTAGACTGCACCTTTTAAGGCCTGTGCAGTGGTCTTCTCTATATTAGAGAGCAGCCCTTCAGTCTCCACTTCCCTTTCGCGGTCGCCTTCGACAGGGATGACACTCTCAACTTCTGATTCAGCATCAGAAGCAACTTCTGCAGCGTCAGGGTCCACGTCACGAGGCAGCTGTAAGTATAAACAAATAAGTTAAAGTTCCATGGTTTTGCACTATAAAGGCATCAAATTAAGGAAAAAACAATTTGCACAATATTACTTACAGATTTCATGGGTGCAGACGACCGGTGTCTCAGCTCTCCCTCATAGAAGGAACACTTCTGCAGCACATATTTCTCTCTGTCTGTTAGCTTCTTCGCAGCCTGCCCAGACTTGACCTTGTGCAGCTTCACATACCATGTATGCATCCCCCTCCACCAGCCCTGCAGATGTTCAGAGTACACGTCCAGGTCCCTTCCTTTCTCTTCCCACAAGGCCTTCTTCCTGTTTGTGTCCTTAAACAGCCCGTGTCCCCTTCTCCACAGTAACTCATTTTCCTCCAGCCACTCAAACACGGCGTCCTCTTGTTCTGACGGGAGGGTGAAATTCATCCTTGGCTTCCTTTCTAGCTGCTGGTCTGTTGCTTTCTCCTTGTTCTTTCCCCTACCCTTCCCCTTGCCAACAATAGGAAGTGTATCAGAATCTCCTGCATGACTAGGACCAGAAGCGACTTCCAGTACCTCAACGACAGCAGCGGCTTCAGGAGGTGGGGTGGGAGACCTGGCGACAGCCCGGGATGGCGCTGGAGGGGGCGGGGTGGGAGATGGAACCCTCCCTCGAGCTCCTGTATCAGCTTTAGTCTTCTGCTTCTTAATCCCCTGCCTCTTTGACCTCTTACGGCCGGACATGTTTTCGGTGTGGTGTTGGTATGAAAAGTGATGCTAATGAAATGGTTGGAGGAGTTACCTCCCGGTAGTTGTTTGTATAATAGTAGATAATTAATGTAAATATTGTAATTAATTGGTCAATTGACATAAAAGATATACAAGAAATATTGTTAAATGATGTTGGGTAAGAAAATAATAGTTGCATTGCCAAAAGAAAGGCAGTTTGTTGTATTTTTCTTATATAATATCTGAAAACTTAATACAAAGGGCTGTTCAACCAACTGTCCGTTGTCTGCTGTGAAGTACGCAATTTGATACATGCGATTTGGAGAATATACTGCATAGCGTGTGCAATTTAACGTATAGTAATTGCTGCAAAGTCGCTGAAGTCTCTGACTTGATTATTGCTGAGAATAACATAGGATACTCTGTTACCAGTAGAGCAGTGTATTGTGTAAGTGTGTTAAATCCACTTGGCTGGATTATAGACAACTTGGTTAGCAATTGACACCAGGCAGGTGTCATCAGATAAGGGCTATAGTCAGGAGACACCAGGCAGGTGTCTGTTGACTTGTTTAGTATTGTTCATTCAGGCATCTGTCACAAGGCACCAGGCAGGTGCCAGTATTATTGTATATATATTACAAAAGGCAGTTAGGTCATTTGATTTAAGGACACTAGGCAAGTGTCATATTATCTGTATATTTTGCATTAATCATACCCCCAGTAAAACTCGGTAATCCGAGTACGGACCTACTGACCGCTCAGGTCCGACACGTTACAAAAGTGGTGGCAGCGGTGGGATTTTACTGGAGGTATGGCTGAACGTAAATCAATTGAAGATAGTCTTAGGGAATCCTTAGATAGGATGGAAGAAAAGCTAAAGAGGTATCGCCTTGACCAGTCGACACCCATTACTAAGGGACATGACCAAGTGACAAGCCGTGACAGTGGGCTTGCAACTCATCGGTCAGATGACTCATTTGATTATGACAGAACATTGAGAGACTCCCCAGAAAACAGATCACAAGGAGAGAAAAGTACAATGAGTCATTGGGATGAAGGGACAGAAATAAGGGACACACCGTCCCGACGTCCATATGACGGAGTAAGGCCAAAGGTCCGATTTGCCGATGAGCGCCATGTTGCAGAGAAACAGTATGACAGCTGGTTATCAGACAACTTGGCTAAAGGGACACACACGCGACAGTCATCCCCTGATCCATATGTCCCTGACACATATCGTCAGACGGAAAGAGACGATAGAGAGAGAAAGCTCACAGTCAAGCCAGCTACATACGATGGTTCAAGCTCTTGGCTGGACTACAAGTGTCACTTTGAGGCTTGTGCCAATGTGAATGGTTGGAATGAAGAAAAGAAGGGATTGTTTCTAGCCCTGTCACTACGTGGCCAAGCTCAGGCTGTCCTTGGCGATTTACCAACTGACAGAGGCCAACATTATGAGACACTTGTAAAGTCTCTGCGAGAAAGGTTTTCTCCTCCAAACCAAACTGACCTATACCGGGTACAACTTAAAGAGAGGAGACAAAAATCAACAGAGACACTCTCTGAATTAGGCCAGAGCATCAGGCGATTGACCAATTTGGCTTATCCAACTGCGCCAGGTGAAGTTCGTGAGACACTGGCAAAGGATCAATTCATCGATGCATTGATTGATTCTGATATCCGCATAAGAATCAAGCAGTCACGCCCTGCCAATTTGAATGAAGCAATTAGCCTTGCTGTGGAACTGGAGGCATACAACAGAGTAGAAAAGAGAGACAGAGAACTCAAAGGTCATTTGAGAACAGCCTTTATTAAAGAACAACCTGACACTGACAAATGTAATAGTGGCCAACTTGCTAGTTGGATGAAATCTGTTGAAATGAACATGAAAAGCCTAACTGAAGAGCTCAGGGAGCTTAAGGTCTCTAACCAGAGAGCACCTTACGACAACAGGTACAAAGACACAGGGGCAAGTGGCAGAAAGCAGGAGATAAGATGCTATGAATGCAAAAAGCCAGGACACATCCGGCGTAACTGCCCTCAGTTGAAGAGAAGGCAAAAGCAGTCAGATGACAGGTCTGGTAAAGAATCTATGAAACAGGACAAAGGAGATGGGAAAAGAGCATCAGGACCACAGGTGTCCGTAGGCCTCGGTTCATCTATAGAGGAGTGTGGGTTGTACATTGATGTAAATGTTCAAGGGGTAAAAGCTAAGTTTCTAGTAGACACTGGTGCTACTGTTACCCTTGTGTCTGAGACACTGTACAGAAAGTTACCGGCATCAGTGAGACCGAAGCTTCATGAGGTACATCAGACCATCATGTCGGCTAATGGCACTGCTCTGTCTGTTCATGGGAAGTCGGAATTCAATATTGGCATTGACCAGTTGACATACCACAATGAGGCAGTAGTTGCTAACTTAAAGGCAGATGGCATATTGGGCCTAGACTTTATGAAAAGAAATCACTGCAAAGTCGATATTAGCAACGAAGTTCTGAATGTCAATGGTCGTGATAAGAGAATGACAATTGAAGGTTCACTTGGATGTTTTAGAATTACAGCAGCTACAACAGTTAGCATTCCGCCAAGGAGTGAGATAATTGTTGCCGGTAAAGTGTGCGTTCCAGAGGGTTTAAGTCTGCCATACTGTGAGAGTATCATTGAACCAGTTGACAATTACAACAATCAGCAGAGCACACTAACTGCGAGAACAGTGGTAAATCCCCAAGAAACTGTGCCAGTTAGACTAATGAATGTTGAACAAGAGTCAAAGGTAGTGTACTCTGGGACCGTAATTGGACAACTTGCTGAGATAGACACAGTGAAAGACACAGTAGTAAATACGACATCAACAGCTACCAGAGTGCTGCGCAAGGATCTAGCGGATCTACTTCAT